GCTGTATCGATTTGAATGGAGACTGTGGCAACCCGGAGGCAGAGAAACTGGAGAGGAATTCACATCAAGTAAGGGATGAGAGCCCGGACAGGGCCAGGGCCTGATGGCGAAACATCAGGGGACAAGAACCAGGGCTCCCTACCGGACCACTGGTTTCGAGCAAGGGAAGGAGCCCCTCAAGAATAGGGCTCCTGGGGAAGAAAAGAGAGACTTTAGAACTTATATATGGTGCATGGCTGTTAAGGCATCTTGGCTGAGTTTGACCTGCCTCAGGTTGTCACCATACTGTCAGCCTTAAGACCAGCATTTGTCACCTGTGTCCATCCAGTGATGGGCAGGACAGCTTATGGGGGCAAGAGATGTGCAGTCCAATCCCTAAAATGACATAGTCCCTTCTGCTGTGGTGGAATCTTAGCCTCCTAACCTTGAGGGAATGGTTTCCGAGTGTGATCAGGGCCCAGCAACACCAGTTCTGTCTGGAAACTCAGCAATGCAAGCGTGGGCCCCGCTCTGCTCCCAGTGCATTTGGAACTCTCGTGCTGACTTAGCCGTCCACCCACCACAGAAACTAGTAGCTCCCCAATATGCCGCGACTTGGCCAATGTGCCCTAGACAAGAACCAAGCTCTGTAGTCCTTGTAGAAGCCCCCCTCCCACCTCGCTGAAGATACTCTAGCAGCTTTTTCTTTTTAAATGAAAATGGGGGAGGGATGGAAGACCATCCCTCAACAATAAGACTGTGTTAGGATAGCGTCATCCGGACAGGTCAGACTGCCTAATTCTGGATTGCTTTCAACTGACTCCACTACCTGAGTCACCAAAAATCAACAGAAATATTCTAGCGGGAAGTAGTCCTGAGTTAGGTGTTTTAGATTGTGGGCATGCTCAGTGTCTGGAGACAGAATGCCCGGGTTCAAATTCTCATACCACCCAAGGGCTGTACCTCCCCCCGTTCTGTGGACAGGTTTCCTGATACATAGATGGGGCATCGTAACGTTCAAAGTATACCATTCAGAATCTACCTGAATTAAAAGACTAAAGTCTTAGAGCTGCATTTAGCAAACGATGTTTAAAAAATTATTTACCCACAGTTCCTGAGATTATCTGAATCTAATGTCAATGGAAACACAGTGGGACTGTAAGATTCACTTGTTTCAGTGAATGAGAAGGATTAACCTACGTATTTAACAGTTTTTCGCTGGTTATGGCAAGTGCTTTAGAGGCTGACTCGAGGGCAGGGACACAACATTTGTGCCTGACACTCAGGCTGTTTTCCTGACTTCCTGTCACTAACTAGCCTCCTCTCCCGAGAGAGAAAACTGCTTTGCTGACTCAGAAGTCAGCTTGTCCTGAGAGGAGTTTTAGCCTGTAAATAGAAAGATTGGCATTAAAGTAGCAGCGAAAGTGAGCGGGACTAAAAATAAATGCCCTCGGTGGCCCCAGAAGTAGCAAAACAAATGGACTCAAGAAATTCCTGTAGATAACACCCGTGTGCTCCAGCGATGAGAGAGAGAAAGAGAGACATCTGAATGCTTGGCCCTGCTGGTCCCAGCACAGTGACAGCCTGAGCCCCTTGGTGCAGGTTCAAATTCATACCTGAGCCCGATACTGAGAAACCCCTCTGCACTCAGGGCCGCCCGGAGCCCTCTTGGGAAATGCGTAGTCCACGTTGGAGGGTTTGTATTTACTGTGAGATCCGTACAGTTCAATGAAGCTTCCATACTGTTCTTCCCTGTTAACCTTTGCGGGGAAAGTTAGACAACAGCAGATCGACTTCTATAGGCATTTAAAACTCTGAATTTCTTGGAGCCAGTCCATTGCCAACCTGTCTGGGAAGCAGCATTCACTCTTTAGGTAAACGAGGTTCCTGGGACAAGGGTGCCTTGAACTAAGTTTGCAGGGTCTGATTCCATGTGTGCGAGTGACAGAATTAGGCAGCTGGCCTTTGACAGACACTCCTGGGCCTTCGTTCATGACACGATAATGCAAACAGCTGTGACTAGGTCCATAGGTGGCTACGTACAAGCGACTTCCTACCCACTGACCCAAAAGGGGAGGGATATTCATTCTTAAGTAGCAGGGCTAAAAGAAAACCCAGATCTAGGCCAACAGTTTGAGGTCTTAAAGCAACAGAAAGAGCCCTTTTTAAATCCTTAAACACAAAACTCCTGTGTTGAAAAGAAAGCCTTCCCGGTGGAAACAGGTGGATTCCCCTGGTTCGTGACCAGGTTCCCCACGGTCATGGCCTTTCTCCCTGGTGCAACCACCCTTTTGGTGCTAAGGCATTCCCATGAAACCTCATGGCTTTGAGGAACCTGCCAAAAAACACATTTACTCCAACTGTTCTCCTTTCTGAGCTAAGAGACGCTGGGATACAGATGTCTAGAGCCTCTACTTACAGGGTTATTTTTTGAGGCATCGGCGGCCTTAGCTTAGCCTAAGAATTAACAGCACCTTGGGTATAGATGATTGCAAGCTCACCCCATTTGCTTTATGCAAGACTAATGCTGAACCTGAGACTTAACTGTCATGGATGAAAATAGACTACAGGTCCACAATCCTGTAATCCCCCAAAAGCTTTGGAAACCAAAAGCTTCTTAACTTGTTTCGTGCTTTCGGTTCTCCCGGAGCTGTGTTCGGCCACATTGCCAGCTGAGCACCAAAACGGGTGAGGGAGAATCTTTCTGAAACCTGGACAGAAGACCCACAGCCCTGCAGCCTGGCTGAGGTCACAGCAGTCGAGATTCTGGCGTCAAAGCCCTGGTTGCTGTGCACGAGGCAGGGGATTAAACTGAACCGGGAGGACTTCCTGCCCAGGAGGCATCTCTCACAAGTGAGTGCTTAGATAACCAGAAACTGAGGCAGGGCCAAAAAGACTTAAGGTCTTTACTCACCTCTCTTTAAAGAAGGCATCCTTTATAAGGCAGCCAGCCAGCCTTACCCACCCCCACCCCGACCCTGCTCCCCTTTTAAACAAGCAGCAACAGTCAATAGCTTGTCTCCACATCTAACCCCCATGGTAATGGAGAATCTTGTGTGTGTCCCGGCAAAACATACTTTTATGACAGTCGGGCAGAAGCTTGGGTGAAGTAGAAATATCTGAGATCACAAAAGGTAGAAAGTAAACTTCTGTTTGTCTTACGGCCTTGGAATACACACGAAGAAAACAGTTATGACTCCTGGTGTCAGCTCAGGTCATGGTATCACAGTTCGTGAGTTCGAGCCCCGCGTGGAGGCAGCGTGGAGCCTGCTTGGGATTCTGTCTCCCTCTCTCCCTGCCCCTCCCCGTGCACTCATGCACGCTCTCTCTCAAAATAAATAAATAAACAAACAAACAAACAAACTTAAAAAAGAAAAGGCTAATGTCTGTCCGGAGTCTGCTCAGGAGCTGCCCTTAAAGCAGCGTTGCTGGAATTTTAGTATCACTTAGGACTGACTGTTGGCTACAGCTGTGTTCAGAGACCCTCCTTAAAGGTGCCGGTGAACCCAACGCCAGCCTTCCTGTACTGCGTGCCTGTCCCGCATCCCTGGCCAGCTTGGGTGTCCATGTACTCTGCGGCTTCCAAACTCACTGTCACCATCTTTCGGTACCTCGCCCTCAGAAAAGCGACATTTGACACCTACTTTCTTCTCCCCATCCAAGCCTGATTGTGCGGTTACCTTTTGGGCGCTGTAGATATCCATGTCTGAGTTTTTGGCTCATTTTGACTCAACAACCTTTGACACTAAAACCTTGAGAAACAAATTTAGAGCCTTCCTGTCTCCACAGCGTCCTCATGGCAACCTGAGGTCTTCCCAACCATATTTCTATCGATGTTCTCTGATGACTGACTGTTCTTTGTCTGCTTTTCACATAGAGTACTCTAAGTAGATCCTGACCAGTCCTATAGCCCTCAGAAGTCGTGGGGACAGAGAACTGAAGCCAGTGGCCCCTAGAGCAGCACTGCGAACAGTCACAATCTATCGAGACTATATGCCTGGTGTGGGGGGGAGGCAGCCACTCCAAATCAGTTAGGAGTATAAAAATCAGCAGGTGCCACTTCCTGGCAACAACATCTACCCTTCTTTTTTTAACTTTTTAAAAAATATATATTTATTTATTTTTGAGAGAGAGACAGACAGACAGACAGACAGACAGACCAGGAGCAGGGGAGGGGCAGGGAGAGAGGGAAACACAGAACCCGAAGCAGGCTCCAGGCTCCGAGCTGTCAGCACGGACCCCGACGCGGGGCTCGAACCCATGAATCCTGAGACCGTGACCTGAGCCAAAGTTGGACGCTTAACAGACTGAGCCACCCAGGCACCCCAACACCTACCATTCTGAATCCCTGACATCTTACCCCCAATAACCTACTTGTGGAATGAACACATAGTATGAAACACAGGTAGGGAATGCCATCAAACCACACTGCTTTGTAGCTGGGGCCCCGCTTAGCTAGACCCTTGACAACAGAATGGCCCATACAGCTACCGATACATTTAGTAGCTAAGAATGTACATTCATAGGGCAAAGCTGACTTGGACCCAAATTCGTGTCCGCCAGGGAATTAGCCACGCGGGTCTAGAATGCCCCCGGACAGTGGGGAGGAGCCGAACGCAGGGAGGCCAAGGAGAGTATTGTGTACTCAGCACAAGAGTTCTAGTCTGTGCTTGGCACTGTCCCATCTGCTCTCAGGCCAGCAACGCCACAGCTGCAGATACTGACAGGTGGCAGGGCATCGGAGGGCTTTCTGCCGGGAAGGCCTCCCTAAGTAATCTGTACGAGCCACGGGGCACCTCTCGTCTTCTCGCCTCTTTGCAGTATATACTTGCATTAAACAACCAGATCCTTGCCTTTGAGCTCAAAGAAATCGCATCCTCCAGAAGGACAGACATGATAATGGTAGGAAACACCTGAATGCTAGCTGTCCCATGCCAGGCAAAAAAAAAAAAAAAAAAAAAAGACGCTCTACTTACAAGTATGAGTGTATACCACTGTGTGAAGTAAATACCCATCAGAAAATGGAGATTCAGAGAAATAGACCCCAGGTCTGCGGTTCTACCCGCCCTTCCCCGCCCCCGTCACTAAAAAGGATCTCTTCACCTCTCAACTGTACCTTCTTGATCTTTGTCGTTGAGCCATTTTGTAAGCTTGTCTTTTTCTAATTAGACCTCAGATCCTAAGATGAAGAGCCATGTACTAAACCTCTATTCTGTCCCCTCCTTGCTACCCCTTCTAAATCTCCCTTAGTCTGCTTGTAATAAGGGGCATCCTCTGTGAATCACAGTATAGAATATGGCCAAGAAATGCTATTAATGGATTAGGATTTGGCTGTGTGATTATAGCTACACGAATGAGTTAAAGGAGGGGAAACAAGGGGCGCCTGGGTGGCGCAGTCGGTTGAGCGTCCGACTTCAGCCAGGTCACGATCTCGCGGTCCGTGAGTTCGAGCCCCGCGTCG